CATTTCCAGGGCCAAACGCAATCCAACATCGCCTATCCTCACAAAACAGTAGAAAATTATTTGAACATAGCTCTCTTTATCGCAACTTTACCATATACTTCCTATGTTTTTGTACATTTACTATATTTCGAACGTCGTTACATCCGTGCATTTTTTTTGTAATTTAGGATAGTACTATCTTGAACCTGTTTCTGAGACCTAGAAACTACGAGGCAGTGCGACTCTGCCATGGAATACAAGAATGACATCATAATTTGACAGAATTATTAAGCTTCCTTTCCTTATACATTTTCGTTCTGGTTTTAATCACTGCTCCCTCCGACAGAGTATTAAAAAGCAGATTTTACTGCGATCGTGTCTGCATCTTCCAGTGACAAAATTTTAAAAATCATGTTTACAGTTCATATGCTATAAATTTACCATAGCATTATCTTTGAATATGCATTGACTATACATGTGGTGGAATTAGAAAATACAAATGAACTTCACATTATTCCAGATATCTTGTCAGGCGTGTGACATGCAATAAAACAGTCAAAGCGAAGAGGAGCACCTGGCGAAGAAGACATGACAATGAAACTGTTGGAATCAGGAGGTGAAGCACTGACCACAGTATTAGCGTACCTGTCTCGCTGTCTGAAGAAACGGAAAATTGAAGACGATTGGAACTACGACGCCGATGATTTTACTTTACAAACAGAAAATAGAAAGGACTTGAGGATACGCAGGACCATCATTTCATTCTTGCGAATCATCTACAAGATCTTCAGCAGGATTCAGAAGTGGATTTAGTACGATGGGTCATTTCCAGATGATAAAAGTAATTCAAGCAAGCAACAAATATCGTCTTTTTTCCTGTCAGGATTTTGTTCATTTTGAGAAGGCTCTGGATTAAATTCGTTTTGTTCCGGATTCCTTGAAGAGTGGAAGAGTGAAAAATGTGAAAGAAGTCCTGAAGAAGAAAAATGTGAGTTGAAGAGTGAAAAATCAAGAAAAGATAGTCCTATTTGTACGATTTATAAGAATACAACTACCAGTGTCAAGCTTCACGAAATACCTCGAAGCTATTCACTGCAATCTTAGAAGAGGTTTTCAAGACAACGTGGGTAAATCAAGAGCTGAACAGGAAAGGGCTTTACGCTACCAGCGGTTTGGGGCCGATATCCTGATCCTCATAAGCCTACCAAGGAAACCCAAACAAGAAGATGCCAACGCCAAACTATCATTGAAAGCGTATCTGCAGAATACCCACCTATGTTTAACAAATATATCCCATGCGACTAACTCCGCCGTTGCTGGTCGAAAACTCGGTTAAGAAAGGAGGAGGGTTGCAGACCATAACGAAATCTACGTAAAACTTCGCCACCTGCCATTTATGACGTCACTGAAAATCAAACGAGCTCGGTTGTCCCCCGGGTTACCAAGGGCTTCGCACGCTGTTCGGGGACTCAGGCAGACTGAAAAAAGTCAGTGATCAGAACCTGCTCATCGCCCTCTGCCAACCGGAGGCGTAGCAGCAAAACAACGGCTGACGAACATCCACGGAACGACGACGAAGATACCAGTCAGCAACGAAGACCATAAGAGTCCCCACCCGTTTTGAATCGAGGAGACAAACAGTGCGATTCCATTATAGCACGTCAAAAAAGGCGCGACAATAACGGCGCCACAACTGGGAGATAACAGTCGGAAATTGGAGTCAGTTAA